TTCCCCGCCTTTGCCCCCCCTTCCTCCCTTCCCCGCCTTGCCCCCCTCCTCCCTTCCCCGCTTGCTCTCCCTCCTCCCTTCCCGCTTGCTCTCCCTCCCTCCCTTCCCTTGCTCCCCCTCTTCCTTGTCCTTCCCCGCCTTGTCTCTCCCCCCTCGCCTCCTCGTTCCTTCACCTCATCAACCCCCACCCCTCCTGCTTTCCTCGTCCTGTTACACAAGTCAAGGCTTCTTCTCTCCGCCGCAATCATCGAGCAGGGGCAGCAACAGCGGAGGATCACTCACATACGGAGGGGAGAGGAAGTGAAAGTTCGACATCAACATGCTATCGAATGCTCATGTTCTCTACCCGGACATTGCCAGGCAGTTCTTGCGAACTTCGAGTGTTGGCTCAGCATTGTGCAGGCCGTTCTCAACGGATATGGCGGATCAGATCATGATGACTGCATGTTGACATTCAGTCTTCCATCTGCTTCTTTTCATGAAAGCTTCAAACTTCACAATCTTACGTTTAAGAAGTTGTGGGTACGACAACATACAAATTCGAATGGATCTTGATGACATCTTCGTGAGACCCAAAAAATTATCTTCATTCAAAACTGTTGGTGTAATTAAATCAAAATGGGGAAAGAGACCAACCATTGGAGGCCTTCAAAAGGTCCAGCCAACTCAATGAGTTTGTAGCATACAATCAATCGTTCAACTTCGATCTCTTGCGGATGAAGTGTACATCATCATCATCATCATCCATCGCTAAGAACCACCTTATGAAGCTCGCTGATATCGGCTCCTCCTCCTCCTCCTCCTCCCTCCCCATGAAGGCTTGTGCTCCAGCTTCTGATCTCAGCCTTCCTCCAGCAGCCCCCACATCCACATCCGCCATGATCATTTCGACATGCCAATCCTTATGCGTTGCCAGCATGGTCACGTCTTCGGCTCTGTCCACATGCCCTTCCCCATGCCCTCCCACATGGAGCTCTTGCCTTTCTCCCCCTCCCCCCCATCTGGACTCCCCGGCTCTGACCCTTGACCCCCCCTCCCCTCCTCTCTCCTCGCTTCCTCGCATACGGCCACTTCTCCACTCCCAGCCTACGGCACGCGTTCCTCAGCGCCGTCAGAGAGATCCCCTGCAAGCACAGCCCCGTCAGCCTCCTGCCGCTCCTCCCCTCTCTCCTGCGTGCGGGAAGCAAGGCGGGGGAGAGGCTCACCAGCTGATCGGCGGCCTCCTCCTGGCGGAGGTGGAAGAGAGCTTGTACGTCATGGCGGGAGATGCTGACGGGGTTACCGCCGGAGTCTTGACGACGCTGCTTGCGGGGGTAGATCTGAACGTAGGGCTGCTCCATGGATGGTGTTGGAAGGGATGGAACGACAGGGTACCGTGTGGTGACTTGTTGTAGCCAAGGGAGGGGGAGCGTTGTCTGTGCTCTGTTGTCGTACTCACAAGATCCGAAAGTGCCGAGGAAGGCAGCGTGTCGGAGGGGGCGAGCGAGGACAGGATCAAGCTAGCCCAAAGCCTGCCCTTTTCATTTCACTCCGCACCAGGACGTGAAGACACTGGGATGGGTGGGGGGTACACTCGTACGGGTATTTCTCCCTGGGAAGGCATGGGTGATTTGTCATATTTTTGGGAATCAAGGGGTGGGTCCTATGCAGGGAGTCCTTGTCATGTTACCGTGGTAACGTGATCAGACGGAGTCGAACTCCGCTTACACCACCCTACCCTGAGAAAGTCAATGAAATTATGGAAATAGACCAGGTACTGGAAGTCCATCTGTTTGACCTCTTGGCTTCATGTCCTTCAATCACGTTACTCTTCGGAGGCAAGGGGTGGGTTAACTCGTTACCAGAAGTAGGGTACTGCGAACGAGTCCGTACGGGTACCTTTCGATTACCACCCCCTAATGAACGTAGTCACGGTTTGCCCTGAGGCTCTTTGACTTCTTAACTCCGAGTCAGGTGACCTTTTTAACTGAAGTGACGTGATTCCTTACCACCCTTCGATTGTAGCACGTTTTTGGCCCGGAGCCTCGGAGTTGTTGGCCTATGAGGCCCGTGCTAATGATCGAAAAGACTTGATTTCAGGCTCGATCATTCCTCGGAGAAGGCGCAGTGTACCAGTACATTGAGTTAAGTGATTCTTAAGATCGGGATGTGGATATCTTTCTCTGACCTTCGAGACTTTTTTCCGCCTGTAAGGTGCCCTTGCACCAAGCTGGTAGGGCATGAGAACAAGATAACGGCCCAATAACGGATCGCAGGGCAAGCCTGAAGGCTTAACTGTGTCCCATCTACGAAAGACTCAACTCGAAGTGCCTCGATCTTGCTGACAGGTTGAACCGTGATTTGGAACGTGCTGGTGTCAGAAGACTGCGATTAGGAAAGTGTAACCAACGCACGTATACGAGTTGTGACATCATTTTCACAGGCTGTGACTGCGCAAGATTGTGTTGAAAAGATACACACAACTTCTCACATGCTCCGCTGGGCACAATCAACTTGGTCTGGGTTGAGTGCTCTCTGATACCCAGCCAACTGGTCTTGAGCTGTTTGAACAGAACCGCCACCACACCTCAAGAGTCTGAGTCTGACTTCATTTACAGGAAAGGAGTCGGACCACGGCACGGTGGAGAAGACCCAAAACTCTCAGTCTCCTTTATTTAGGATGTACTGTTTTTGCTAATAAATGTAAAACAAGACTTGCATGGTCTAGATATCCTCGTCATCTACCACTGTAGCATACCACCTGATGAAGCTCGCTGATATCGGCTCCTCTTCCTCCATGGCAATTCTTGCGCCATTCTCAGTTGTCACCTCCTCTCCCTCTGCTTCCAAGAAGTTCATCTGATCTTGCCACCATACCCGCGTCTTCAGGTCAGTTCCCTCGGTCGCCTTATCCATCTCGGCCATCGCTTGTTCCTTGACTCTTGTATCCTCGTCCTCTAATAATTCCACCTCCCCCCCTGCCGCACTCTCCTTTCTCCCCTCCCCCCATCTCGGACTCCCTGGCTCTGACCCTTGCCCCCCCCCCCCTCCTCTCTCCTCGCTTCCTCGCATACGGCCACTTCTCCACCCCCAGCCTACGGCACGCGTTCCTCAGCGCCGTCAGAGAGATCCCCTGCAAGCACAGCCCCGTCAGCCTCCTGCCGCTCCTCCCCTCTCTCCTGCGTGCGGGAAGCAAGGCGGGGGAGAGGCTCACCAGCTGATCGGCGGCCTCCTCCTGGCGGAGGTGGAAGAGAGCTTGTACGTCATGGCGGGAGATGCTGACGGGGTTACCGCCGGAGTCTTGACGACGCTGCTTGCGGGGGTAGATCTGAACGTAGGGCTGCTCCATGTTGGAGGAGAGGGGGGGACAATCAAATATTGAGGAGGAAGAGGAAGAGGAAGAGGAAGAGGAAGAGGAAGAGGAAGAGGAAGGGAAGGAGGAGGACGTCAACAAGGAAGGGAGCCACTGAGGGTACAAGGAGTAAACCTTAGGTCATGAATTGTGCACGGAATGCTGACAAAATCATTTTTAAAGAATCTCTCAGAGAGATGCAACTCGGGTCGTAACACTGACCGTGTGACGGCAGTGACCGGGCTCACCACGGCCTCACGGCAGTGTCACCGGCCGTGACCCGGCCCGGTCTCCCATGCTTCTAGTGACTCTAAAACAACTGAGGGCCGTTTCCCGCCGGCTCCCAGATTCCAGAAAGTGATTTGAAATTTACCCCGAAATATTCACGGGTGCTTTCAATACATACTGACAGGGGGTGGGGTCCCCTGCCCGGCCTGTTCATATTTGATGCTCCCAGCGTACCCTCCCTACATTCTAACAATTTTTCTCGATTGAGCTAATAGTATATTTCCATATAGTGCCTGCCCATTCGAAAAGCAAAATCTGGGAAACTCAACCGCATCGTTTCATTCTCAAATTAAAATGACTTATAGTTGAGTTCTCCAAAACATTTGGAGGAGAAAAAAAGAAATTGACTTATATTTGTATGAAAAAATCTGGAATCTGGAATCTGGGAGCCGGCGGGACGTGACGGGCCTGAGTTAAAACTCGGATCGGATCAGGCCGTACAAGGACAATCAGGAGAGTAGAGGAGGCTTGACCCTGGACCGTGCCGTACCGTACGGTCACCCGGTCCCGGCCAACTGGATCCCCCCGGGGCGGCGGCCGCAGGGCCGCGCGGGGCCCCCGGCCGGCCCTGGCGGGCCGGGACTCGGACTCTGGGGACTTGGCCCGCCCCCGGTGGCGGTGACCGGCGGTGACGGACGCTTCCGAAGTTCCGACTCCGCACAGCGGCCGCAGTGACTGCGGCAGCCTGCCCGCCGCCGCTCCGAGCGCCCCTTGGCGGCGGGGCCCGGGCCCGCCGCCGGGCCGCGGGCGGCCCGCTGCGACGTCTCACTGCTACGGTCCGAGGCGAGTCAACCTGCCGCGGCGCCGCTCAGCACCGTCACAGCTCCGGGCCGCCCGGCCGCCCGGCCCCGGCAGATGATCGGACGGTGCACGGAACCGGACTCGCCGGGAACCATGATAGCATCCGGGCCGATGATCACCGGCCGGTCGTTGAAAGTTGCCGCGCCCCCGGCGGGCCAGTGACTCCCCCGCAGTCTTCGGGCCCCATCCGGCCGCGGCGATCGGATGATGATGCCAGGCTGAACCATCAGCGATGAGCCTGTGAATCAGTAAAATTTTGGATGATAACTTGGATGATTTACTGAACACTACTACGGCAGTCAGTCAAGGAGCGACTGAGTGAGGCAGAGACTAGAAGGAGAGAGACTAGAAGAGCTTCAGTGAGAGAGAGACTAGAAGAACTTCAGTGGTTGTGTGAGGCATGCGAGTCGCCCGCGGCTCCCATGAGACACTCGCAGTGCCGATGATTCAACGAGGTCAGCCCGAGCGCGATGGCCCCGACAGCAAACGACTGCGATAAGAGCGACGGTGAGCTTAACGAGATAGGAAGAGAGAGAGGAGGAAGGTCACGAGGAGAGCAAGAGGAGGCGAGAGGTCGGCAGCAGTGACAACATCATGCATCAGGAGACGTACCAGCCAGTGGACGGCTGCTCGCTGTAGATCATCGACGACCAGGATCTCGGGAACAAGTCCTACAACCATCCCTTCACACTCTGACGGAAACCCATCCTCCTCCGCTCCTCACCCGCGGCGATGTACAGGAGCAGGCCAGCTCCGAAGGCCAGCAGGAGCCCCATGTCCTTGCTGATGTGGGAGGAGATGGAGTCGGAGGACGCGAGGATTACGATGACCTGGGAGACGCGTCATGCTCGTGCTCGACTCGGGGGCTGTGACTCACCCCAAGGATGCAAGAGAGGGAGGAGGCGAAGTTGCTGATCAGCGCCCATCGAGTCGACCTGCCCTTGCTAGGTGAGAACAGGAGAGGCGGGTGAGGGGTAAAGGGGAAGGGAGGGAGGGAGGGAGGGACTAACATTCCAGACGTCCTAAGGATGACAAAGTCGCTGAGCTCCTGGGGTAGTTCGTGCACGATGGCTGCACCCACAACAATCCAGCCGAGCTCTGTGAATCAAGGGAGTGAGTGCTGGACAAGGAGGAGGAGGAGGAGGAGGAGGAGGATGAGGGGGAGGGGGAGGGGGAGGAGGGGGAGGGGGAGGGGGAGGGGGAGGAGGAGGAGGAGGCGTCTGGACCTGGTCCGCAGTATTTGAAGGCAATGGCTGTTGTCACCCCATCGAAGAAGTTGTGGAAGAAGTCGGCAATGAGCACGTTGCCTATCCTGCCGTGCGGGCAGAGGATCGCCTCCTCTAAGCAGGCACTTTCGACGCTGCTCTCAGTGACGTAGGGCTGGGAGAAGGCAAGGGGAGTCATCAGGTGCCCTTGAAGAGCAAACCGTGAGTTACCAGCTGTTGAGGCGCCTCCATCTTCTGTTGCAAGTCGCAGCGCACTTGAACCATCTCCGCTACGGTGCTTCCTCCTCCGCTTCCTGCTGCTGTAGACTGCGAGGACGGTGAGGTTTACGACAAGGACGGAGCAGAACTCTACCTCCTTGCTCGTGGGTTTGTAAAAAAACTTTGAGACCGTGCTCGATCAGAAGGCCTGAACCCTAATGTCAGTCTCTTTCCCCTCTCCCCCCTGACCCTCATCCCTGCTTCTCTTGCTGCTGCTGCTCCCCAGCTTCTCTCTCTTCTGTCACTCTCTTGCACCCTTCCTCCAAACTCTTCCCTTCTCCCTTCTCCCTCCTTGTCCCCTCCACGACCGTGACTCAGGTGCTCACCGGCGAAGTATCCAGCGGTCACCGTGGTGCTGACGCGCCAGTCCAGGGCCCCGAAGAGAGCGCCAGCTTCAGGGATGAGGTGGACGAGGACGAGGGAGATGAGAACACCGCACGCGAAGGAGTTGAGGAACTTGAGGATGCCCAGCTGCTTCATCTGAACGATCGGAGCGATGATGAGGGCCCCCGAGAGCGACATCACGGCCCCCAGGAAGGCCCCGAGCATCGACAGCCCCCATACCCTGCTGCTGTCCATGGAGCTAGCGCAGGCTGCGGATCCCTCGATGGAGAGGCTTTCCCCATGGATGTCGCTGAAGAGCTTCCGGTCGCCGGCCTCCCACTCTGACGGGTTGTGGTTGGCAAAGACCACGTACTCCCCAGCAACAGTCACCGACACCTTCATCAGCGTGCTTGCTGCCTCCTTGTCTGCCACCAGCTCGAACGCATCAACCTTGGTCCCATCCTCTAGCTTCAACGCCCCCCGACCAGCCCCTTCTCTCCTTGCTGCAGGATCGGAAGTTTTCCTTTGAGAAGCTCCTCCACCTGCTCCTCCAACTTCTCCACCGCAGAGCTGCTCTCCTCGAAAGCTTCGGGCATGGGTACCAGCACTACCTTGAGGGAGGAGTCGACGTATTCCTGCACCAGCACAAGAGTTAGAGGAGAGGTGTCTTCAGCTTGTTCATGAGACCTCATTCTGTCGTTGAAGGCTCAGCGTGTATGTTGCTTGCTCAAGGTGATACACTCCATGCCAGAGCTCCTCGTGCGCGTGTTCCCCCTCTTCATGATCGTGATCGTCTGCACTTGCATGCCCTCCGAGGAGAATGATGCTCAACAACAACGTGCCGATGAAAAACTTGATAGCGTTCATATGTTAATATCTGCTGTAAAGATTGTCAACAAAGCTCAAGTTGAACATAGATGCAAGGAAAGCCAGACAACAGGAGGGGATGGGCTGATCTTTCTGAAGAATGTTCATTGTCCTGACATTCATCTCGTTTTCAATCATCTGTATGGCGTCTATCTCAGCATCTGTTTGCTAAAAACTCTCTACTGGGTTGCATGCAATTTTCATTTCCAGCTTTGTCATCTCTTCGCATTCTCTGTTCTCGTTTCCTGCTATTTCCTCTCCCTTTCGTGCTCTTTCTTTCCATCTTCCTGTCTATCTCGTCCTGTCCTCTCCACTCCTCTCCTCTCCTCTCCTCCTTCCATCTACCTCCTTCCTCTCTCCTCGTCTCCCTCGGCGCTTGATCCATGGACGCGAGTACAGAATATCTATGTCCCCATGTACCCCACCCAACTAACAATCTCTCCGTAACAGTACCCTACCGTTTCCCTGACCTCTCCATGTTTTATTTTGTACCCCTACTTTGACTACCCCACCCCATCAATTCCCTCACAAGCGTTGGCTCGAGGGGGGTAACATTTTGTACACCAGTAGGAAGGCGGATCCGTATCTCCCCTGCAGTACAGTGACCACCCCACCCCCTAACTGACCCAGCCTCTGAGCCGTGACTCCCCGTGAACCACCCCTACCCCCCATTCCGAGCCTGGTGGCGCAGGACGTGACACTACCGGGTGACCGGCCCAGTGGTGTGGGTGAACTTTGAAACGTCCTCCTTTTTACTCAAAGTTAAGTTAAAATTAGTACGAGGACAATATAAGGAGAGGAGGCCCGGCGTC